GCTAATTTTTGTATTTTTAGTAGAGACAGGGTTTCACTATCTTGGCCAGGCTGGTCTCGAATTCCTGACCTTGTGATCCACCCACCTCCATCTCCCAAAGTGCTGCGATTACAGGTGTGAGCCACTGTGCCTGGCCCATACTTTTCATAATAAACACTGTCCTACAACTTAATTTTTCACTTTGTGATATATCTATATTTGCTTTTCTCTTTATATCTTCACCATAGGTCTTCACATAATTGAACGTGATGTTACCCTAAGAGTATTGCACCAAGTGAATATACATCAATGACCTGCCAGTTTCCTACTGATGGATATTTACATTAGCTTCAACAGTCTTGCAATGGCCTTCCCTCTACATGCGACTTTGAGCAAGTGTAGGATTGTGTGTGGGACAGAGAGTTCTACTAGTGGAATTGCTGGTCCAAAGGTGAAGCGGGTTTAAGAGTAGCGGCTGCTGTGGATGTCAGGCAGGGCGCAGTGGCTCACGCCTGTAATCCCAGCACTTTCGGAGGCTGAGGTGGGTAGATCATGAGGTCAAGAGTTTGAGACCATCCTGTCCAACATGGTAAAAGCCCATCTCTACTAAAAAAAAAAAAAAAAAAAAAAATTGCTGGGCGTGGTGGTGTGCACCTGTAGTCCCAGCTACTCAGGAGGCTGAGGCAAAAGAATCGCTTGAACCTGGGAGGAGGAGGCTGCAGTGAGCTGAGATCGCGCCCCTGTACTCCAGCCTGGCGACTGAGCAAGACTCTGTTTCAAAAAAAAAAAGAGTAGCAGCTGCTGTGGATGTCAACTGGTTTAACCTCTCCAGCCTAGTCAGTATGCCTGAACCGAGTATCTTGATGACCTTAAAAAAAATAATTGGCCAGGCGCCAAAATACAGGCTCATGCCTGTAATAACAACACTTTGGGAGGCCAAGGTCAGGGGATCATTTGAGGTCAGGAGTTCAGGACCAGCCTGACCAACATGGTGAAACCCTGTCTCTCCTAAAAATATAAAAAAATTAGCTGGGTGTGATGGCACATGCCTGTAGTCCCAGCTACTTGGGAGGCTGAGGCAGGAGAATCACTTGAATCTGGGAGGCGGAGGTTGCATTGAGCCGAGATTGTGCCACTGCACTCCAGCTTGGGCAACAGAGCAAGACTCTGCCTCAAAAAAAAAAAAAAAAAAAAAAAAAAAAATATATATATATATATAGACCACCCCCAGTGGAGGGCATTTAGATATTATCTACGGAAATTACAAATGCACTAACTGAGAAGCTGAACGCTGGTGGTTTAACCCCAAAGCTGACTTTTGATCGCTACGGTATTCAAGATCATTAACATAATGATAATTCCCATTAAGTGAGTGTTCTGTGTCAGGCGCTATCGTAAGCATTCTGCATATATCACCCTGATGTATCCTCCCACTACCACTGTGAAGTGCGTATCAGGAGCATCTCCAATAGATGTGGAACAAGCCTCGGGGAAGTTAAGCAGCTGGTCCAAGGTCACACAGTAGGAAAGGGCCAGGCAGGACGTGGGGCTCAGGCTGGCCTGGTTTAGCGCCTGTGCTGTCAAGCCCTGCCTCCTTCCTGGGTTTCACCAACAACAGCAATGCTGGCAGTGGTAGAGAGTGAGTGCCCAGTAGGAGGAGGCCTTGTTCTAATGATGGGCCGTGGACTTGGCCGGCATTATCTCACTGGACACCCCCCAAACTGCCCTGGAAGGAGAGACACCTAGGATGTCCACTATAGGAGTGGGACCTGAGGCTGACGGGGAGGAGGTCACTGCTGAGGCCACACACCAAGCACATGCCCGACTCAGAACTGCCCACCAGGCCCTGTGGGACCCCTGAGCCCACAACCACAACACTGCCACCTCCGGTGCAAGCCCAGGGTACTCTTGGGCCCAGGTTCCTGCTGGGGAAGGTGGCCTGGGTGACCGGGCAGAGCACTCAGGGCCACTGCAGAGAATGACCTGGCTGGACGTCGTCTAGTCTCAGTTGAGGGTGTCACTGCCTGTGTGGCTGTCACTGCCTGTGTGGCTTTCACTGGGGAACCATGGATGCGAGAAAGTGGGGAGGCTGGCCTCTTTGTCCACCTGCCCTGCCTCCGTTGATGGTTTACCTCTTTGGGACATCTTTATATGCCCAGAAGGTGCTGGTTCCCTGGGAGGCAGGCAGTCACGCTGGGAAACCACATTTATACAGAGCAGAGCCCATGGCAGTCACATCCGGCCTCAAAAACCACAGACAACTCCAGCGCTCTGCCTCTGGGCTGACCTCTGCCCCTGACTTGAGACTCGAACTCAGATGCCCTGCAGCATCTCCACTTGGGTATCTGTCGGGCACTCTCACCGAACATGGCTAAGGCCAAGGTCAAGGGCTGTACCTTCCCCCAAACCTGCGTCTCCCACGGTTTTCCTGCTCAGTTCATGACTTCTCCTTTCAGCTGCTGTGGCCAAAACCCCTGTGGCATCCTTGACTTCTCTCATGCCCACAACTAGGCATCATCAGGAAATTTGGTTAACGCTGCCTTTAAAATACTATATCCAGAACCGCGTATCTCCCCCTTCCTCTGTCCCCACCTGGTCCTGCTCTCACCCCACCTGACAGTAATCTGTAGCCAGGGGGGCCCTGGGAACACCCGAGTCAGATCCTGCCCCTCCTCTGCACAGAAGACTGAGACCTGCGGCTCCTGTCCCACTCTCAGTACAGGACAATGGCCTCCCTGTGGCCCACGAGGCTCCACATACTCTGCCGCCGTTCCCTCCCTGACACATGGGCCTCGTCGCCACCACCTCAGGGTCTCTGACTAGCTGTTCACTTTCCCTGGAATGTTCTCATTCCCACTGACTTCTTCGCATTGTTCCAGCCTCACCTGAAATGTGATTTGCTCAGAGATGCCCCCCAAACCCTGTCAATGTCTTTCTGCAGGCTATGACAGTTTCCACTTTTTTGTTTGTTTGTTTGAGACAGAGACTTGCTCTGTTGCCCAGGCTGGAGTGCAGCAGCACAATCTCGGCTCACTGCAACCTCCGCCTCCCGGGTTCAAGTGATTCTCCTGCCTCAGCCTCCTGAGTAGCTGGGATTACAGGCACCTGCCACCCCATCCAGCGAATTTTTGTATTTTTAGTAGAGACGGGGTTTCACCATGTTGGCCAGGCTGCTCTCGAACTCTGGACCTCAAGTGATCCTCCCGCCTTGGCCTCCCAAAGTGCTGGGATTACAGGCGTGAGCCACCACGCCCGGCCTAGTTTCCACATTACACTCAGCATTACTGTTGATGTTTCATCATCATCGTGTCCCTGTTATTATCCAATTCTCCCACCAGACTGTCAGCTCCAAGAAGACAGAAAACATGCCTGCCGGGCTCACCCGGTATCCCTGGCGCCTAGCCTGGTGGCATCATCAGTTGAATGCATGCACAGGTGGAAGGCCAGCTTCCTCGCCATCCTGGCTGCCCCTGCATTCTCCTGCCCCAGCTCTGCCCTCAGCAGGCCCTGATCCTGGTTCTCTGGATCAGCCCTTAGTGACCTGCTGGCCTTCCTACCGCAACCTCGACATGCTGGGCAGGGGACAGCGTGAGAGATACGCTAAAACCCTGGGCCAGGCACAGTCTCAGGGCAGCCAGTGACCCTGGAGGCACCTTCCCACCCTGGGTGCTCTGAGGCCTGGGAAACGCTCACACTCTGTGGGTAAGGGGTTGTGGGTGGAGCTTACGGGGGGGGTCCTGGGACCCAACAGGGCTCCGTTCATAACCCGCTTAGTGACCTGGGACAAGTGACAACCTTTCTGTGCCTCATCGTCCTCCTCTCTGACCAGGGGCAGTCGCAGTGCCTACTCTGGCGCGTTCCTGAGACGACTAAACACGAACGCATGTGCAGCGCTGCACACCGGACAGTCCACAAAACCGTGCGGCTGTTATTAGGATGGCTCGCTCCATCGGGGCTGGGCAAACCCCCACATTTGCTGCGAAGCCTGATCCTTGCCATCTGCAGTGAACTACCTTTTTTTTTTTTTTGAGACGGTGTTGCTCTGTCGCCCAGGCTACAGTGTAGTGGATCACGGCTCACTGCAGCCTCAAGCTGCAGCCATCCTTACCCCTCAGTCTCTTGAGCAGCTGGGACCATAGGTGCGCACTGCCACACCTAGCTATGTTTTTTTTTTTGTAGAGGCAGAGTCCCGCTAAGTTGCCCAGGCTGCTTTCGAACTTCTAGCCTCAAGCAATCCTCCCACCTTAGCTTCCCAAAGTGCTAGGATTATGGGTGTGAGCCATTGTGCCCGACCTTTTTTCTGGGTCTTGAATACATTCTAGACCTCACATTGATTTCTTTTTTTATTTTTTAGACGGAGTCCTAGTCTGTCTCCGAGGAATGCAATGCACGGTCTCAGCTCACTGCAACCTCTATCTCCTGGGTTCAAGCGATTCTCCTGCCTCAGCCTCCTGAGTAGCTGGGATTACAGGTGCATGCCAGCTAATTTTTGTATTTTTGGTAGAGGTGGGGTTTCATTATGTTGGTCAGGCTGGTCTTGAACTCCTGACCTCAAGTGATCCACCTGCCTCTGCCTCCTGAAGTGCTGGGATTATAGGCGTGAGCCACCGCGCCCGGCCTCACGATGATTTCTAAACAGATTTCCCTGATCTGTGTGGGCGTGTGTGTGTGTGGCAGCAGCAACTTTAGGAGTCAACTATAACAAGGTCAAGGAAGTGAGTGGGGAGCCAAGCTCCAGGAGACGGAAGAGGGAAGGGAAGGGCAACAGTGAGTTTCTTATCTGGGGCCCATGGTGTATGCGGGAAACATTTCCTCCCCATTTTGTACTTTGGTGTGTAATAAAATAGCCAAGCAACACTTTTCTCTTTTTCTGAACTTGGTGAGGAAAAAGGAAAAAAGGGATCCAAATCTATCTGTCTTGGAGCAAAGATGACAGAATTAGGGGCAGTGACAGGCATGATTAAGTGTGCTGAGGACAGGAGCAAACCACGCACGCCCTGGAGGCAGCAAAGAGGCTGAGGCCCCAGCAGTTCCACCTGCTTCCCTGAAGCCCAACCACTGTCTCTAGTTTGTTTTTTGTTTTTTTTTTTTTGAGACAGAGTTTCTCTCTCGTTACCCAGGCTGGAGTGCAATGGCACGATCTCAGCTCACTGCAACCTCTGCCTCCCTGGTTCAAGTGATTCTCCTGCCTAAGCCTCCCGAGTAGCTGGGATTACAGGCATGCACCATCACACCTGGCTAATATTTGTATTTTTAGTAGAGACGGGGTTTCACCAAGTTGGCCAGGCTGGTCTCGAACTCCCGACCTCAGGTGATCCGCGCCCCCCTCGGCCTTCCAAAGTGCTGGGATTATAGGTGTGACATTGTCTCTGGTTTAAGAGAACCATGGGCTGAGACACTAAGGAATTCTCCAGGCCACGAATCTTGGGGCATGCAGCCTCTTCCATACCCCACAGCAGCTGGGAGAGCTGGTGTGCTGATGGGGTCAGCTCTGCCAGCTGCCTGGAAATTCTCAAACACTCCCTAAGAGGACATCTCCACCCCTCCCACTCTGACGTCACCGCTTTCTAACATTGCTTATTTGTTTGCTTCCTTCTGAATCCATCTTGCCCATTCAACTGCTAGTTCTCAGACTTCAAAGGGGCTACAGGTTTGTTCTATGGAATTATGTTTAAAATATTCATCTGAGTAGTTCACAACTTGATTAATAATGGGGAAGAAACATTGAGAAGATGCTCAATCTCAGCAGTCTTCAGAAAAACGCAAATTACAAACACAATGTCAGCCAGGTGCGGTGGCTCGTGCCTGTAATCCCAGCACCACTTTGGGAGGCCGAGGTAGGAGGATCACTTGAGCCCAGGAGTTCGAGACCAGCCTGGGCAACTTGGCAAGACCATGTCTCTACAAAAAATGTTTTTAAAAAATAATAAATAAAACCACAATGTGATGGCACCACCTGCCCATTGGAATAAATGAAACACAGAGGCTAGTGAGGGCATAGAGCAACTAGAACTCTCACATGTTGCTAGACAGAGTATAAGATGCTTTGTCATTTTGGGAAACAGTTTGGCATGTTCTTATAAAGTTAAACATACTGGCCCTGTGCGGTGGCTCACACCTGTAATCTCAGCACTTTGGGAGGCTGAGGCGGGTGGATCACTTGAGGTCAGGAGTTCAAGACCAGCCTGGGCAACATGTTGAAACCCTGTTTCTATTAAAAATACAAAATTAGACGGGAGTGGTGGCGCATGCCTGTGGTTTCAGCTACTCGGGAGGCTGAGGCAGGAGAATCGCTTGAGCCTGGGAGGCGGAGGTTGCAGTGAGCTGAGATTGCGCCACCGCACTCCAGCTTGGGCAACAGAGTGAGACTCTGTCTCAAAAAAATAAATAATAATACAACAAAATAAAATAAAAAAGTTAAACATATGACCTAGAAATTTCACTCCCAGGTGTATACCCTACAGAAATGTGAGCATATGTTCATCAAAAGACAGGCACAAGAATGTTCCCAGCAACACTGCTCTAGGCAGTCCCAACTGTAAACAACCCAAATGTCTATCAACACCAGGATGTGGCAATACACTGTGGCTCATTCAGACAACCGGGGATACCGCTCAGATACTGCGATACACTGTGCATTCACAGGGCTGGCTGTCACCAGTGTAACACTGAGTGACAGAAACCAGACACACATACACAAAATAGACACAGTGTGATTCTGTATTCCATGAAATCCAAAACCAGGCAAAGCTCAGGCTATGAGAAGTAGGACAGGGTTCCTTTGGGGATACTAACTGGGAGGGGAATGGGCGTTTGGGGAGGCTAGCCATGTTCTGTTTCCCGCCCGGGTGTGTCCACTCTGCGATAGATTATCAGGCTGTGCACTCATCATGTGGACTCTTCTCTTTTCTTTTTTTGAGATGGAGTCTTGCTCTGTCGCTCAGGCTGGAGTGCATCAATCTCGGCTCAATGCAACCTCTGCCTCCTAGGTTCAAGCAATTCTCCTGCCTCAGCCTCCCCAGTAGCTGGGATTACAGGCATGTACCACCACACCTGGCTAATTTTTGTATTTTTAGTAGAGACAGAGTTTCACCATGTTGGTCAGGCTGGCCTCGAACTCCTGACCTCAAATGATCCACCTGCCTTGGCCTGGCCTCTTTTTTATGAGAAAGTCTTGCTTTGTCACCCAGGCTGGAGTGCAGTGGCACGATCTCGGCTCACTGCAACCTCCGCCTCCCAGGTTCAAGCGATTCTCCTGCCTCAGCCTCCCGAGTAGCTGGGACTACAGGCACGTGCCACCATGCCCGGGTAGTTTTTGTATTTTCAGTAGAGATAGGGTTTCACCGTGTTGGCCAGGCTGGTCTCGAACTGCTGACCTCAGATGATCCTCCCACCTCGGCCTCCTAAAGCGCTGGGATTATAGGCGTGAGCCCCTGCGCCCAGCCATGTGGGTTCTTAACATGTGCTGTATGTCCATAAAAGTTGAAAACAACATAGGAGGGTTTATGTAATGAAAAGCCACAGGACGCAGTCAGTCCTGCTCCTGAGAGCACCATGCTTAATCTTTTCCAGCTACCTTCCCTGGTGGCTCCCAGCTCTGTGTCACACAGCTGCACGCCGGCTCCGGCCTTATCAGCGGGAGCAGACGCAACCTGCCGATGCCTCGTCTGGACGGATAAGGATCTCGCTCCCTGGTTCCGCTGCTCTCCTGGGTGCCCTCTCTAGTCTTACACGTGGCGCTTACAGCTTTCTTTCGTGTTTTATCTGTCACTGACAGGAGGGGGAGTGTCGCCTGTCAAGCTCTAAGTAAGAGGTCCTGTGGAGTGAGGTGGGCGGGTGGGCACAGTAGCTGGTGGGGGCCCTACCTGGCTTCTGGCGTTCCATGGTGCTCTCCTGGCTTGTCAGGCCGCCGGAAGACGAGTCGCCGCTGGACGTCCCATCGTGGCTGAAGTGGGGATCAAGAGATAGCAGGGGGTGTGGGGCAGCTGTGTACCTGCAGGGGACGAGAGGAGACGTGCCCAGGGTGAAAGACCAGCCTGTGTCGAAAACCACCTGAGCCTCAGCCTTGCTTGTCAGTGGGGTTTTAGACACATGGGAGGCTCCGCCGTGGATGACAGAGAGAAAGCTGTTAGCAAGGCTGGATGAGTAAGCCTGGAAACGTGCTATTAGCTGCGGGTCCAGGATGAGAGTCTCGCCTGGGAAGCCTGCCAGGGAGCTGGTGGTGGTGGGGCAAGGCGGGTTCCTCGGGGAAGGAGGGGGCAGAGGCCGCTTGGGCCGACAGCCCTACCCCTGGGCTCCTCTCAGGGGTCCTGTTTTCTGGCTGTGACATGGGGTGAACGTCCCCAGCAGCTACTGCCCCAGGCTTATCTCGGGCTGCCTTGCTTTCTGATGGAGACAGCAGGCTAGGGAAGCACTCATGGGTGCAGCAGGCCCCGAGTTGGGCAATTGGGGCTTCAGACCTCACCATGGCCTCTTGCTTAGACAGATGCAGCCACTTCCTAGCCCCGAGCCTCAGTTTCCTTAGCTGTCAAGAGGCAATAACAGTAAGCCCTTCTCAGGACTGAAGGATGCCCCGTCATGCCCAGTGTTTAGCCATGGGCTGACTCCTGACACATGGTAACTTGGGACACCTGGCTGATGGGCTAGAACTCTGCCTGTTCTACCATGGTCAGCTCACGAGGTAACATTTTCTACCTCATAGGGTTGGGGAGTGGATGGAATAAAGTTATCCCCTAGACAGAGGTCCTCCTGGAGGCCGGCTTCACACACTCACAGGCAAGGCTAGGATTTAAGGGAGGTGGTGGTAGAAGGCTCTCACTGTGCCCTCATATCCCAGTGGCATTCTTTTTTTTTTTTTTGAAACGGGGTCTCGCTTTGTCAACCAGGCTGGAGTGCAGTGGCATAATCTCAGCTCACTGCAACCTCTGCCTCCCAGCTCAAGCGATCCTCCCAACTCAGCCTCCTGAGTAGCTGGTACTATAGGTGCATGTTACCATGCCCGGCTAATTTTTAGTATTTTTTGTAGAGATGGGTTTCACTATGTTGCCCAGGCTGGTCTTGAACTCCTGGGCCCAAGCTATCTGCCTACTTCAGCTTCCCAAAGCGCTGGGACTACAGGTGTGAGCCACCACGCCCAGCCCCAGCGGCCCTGTCTACAACCATGGGGTGAATCTTGTAGACACTTCCTAATGTCCAGTCCTCCCTGGATCACAGTCGGTTGTGGTAGAAAGTCTTCTCCCTGCCTCAGGTTGGTTCAGAGACAGGCCTGTGACACAATTTTGACTGACGAGACATGAAGGGAGGTCAGAGTTATTAAGACGCCCACAAAACATTTCCAGTTCTCCACTTTCAAGCAGGTGGCAGGACACACTTCCGGGTCCCTTGAGACTGGCTGAATGGAGTTATGTGACCAGCGCTCGTAGCTGAGCTGTCAGGGAAGTGACTGGGAGTTGCTGGCTGCCTGGGGAGCCTGGGTCCTGAGAGGTCCCTGCCAACCAGCAGTGGAACTGAGGAGGGGCCGAGAAATAAACTTTGCTGATTGAAGCCACAGAGACTTTCCGGTGTCTGTTACCCAGCACCGTCGACTGAAACGGGGTAAGTCTGCCCAGAGGCTTCTGGGAAATCTCCTTGCTCCTAAGAGGGATGACAAGAAAAGATGGCCTCTCTTTGCCCTCCAGATGCTGCTGGGTCCAGACTTAACATCACAAGCTGCGGCTGCCGTCTTGCTACCAGCCTGCAGGTGAGGCCCACTCTGATGGTGGAAGAGAGGAGGCAGAAGGAATCTGGCCCTTGATAATGTGGTCAGGAAGCTGGGTTCACCCTCCCTGGAACCTGCCCTGCTCCTGAACTTCCTTTTCTGTGAGATAACAAATTCCTACAATGTTTGAGCCAAAGTTTGGTTGCTTCAGTCAGACGTACCTCACTGACACAGGCCCTGTGCTCTGGGGGAGTTACTGAGCCTCCATTAGTAATGTTGATATTAGCCAGGCGTGGTGGCTCACGCCTGTAATCCCAGCACTTTGGGAGGCCAAGGCAGGTGGATCACTAGAGCTCAGGAGTTTGAGACCAGCCTGGCCAATATGGCAAAACCCCGTCTCTACTAAAAATACAAAAATTAGCCAGGTGTGGTGGTGTGTGCTTGTGATGTCCCAGCTACTTGGGAGGCTGAGGCAGGAGAATCACTTGAACCCGGGAGGTGGAGGTTGCAGGTTGTAATGAGCCAAGATTGTGCCACTGTGCTCCAGCCTGGACGACAGAGTGAGAGTCCATTTCAAAAAAAAAAAAAAAACCAACAAAAAAAAGTGTTGATATTGCAATGCCCTGGTTGGTTCCTGGCACCTGTACTTTCAACTTGGGAGGATCTGGCAGGGGGAGGTGAGGTCATAAACTGGGATCCCCCAAGATGCCAAAGAGAAAGTAATTGACTTATTCAGGGTCATCCTGCCAACTCAAAGCCAGGACTGTCTCTACAGAGACCCTGCTCTAACCCCCTGGCTTCAACGCCCTGAGCACAGTAGAGGGGTGTTTCAAGGAGCACTGCACTCTCTGAAAACTCAACTCTACTCACTTGCCACGAAAAAACACACCATCCTCCTTGCCCTCAACCAGACCTTGACCTCTGACACTTCCAGGAGAGGAAGACAGAGCCCAAACACAGGATGTACAAAACGTGAATTCTTACTTTTCTCAAAGTCTGAGGGCCCAGCTTCCAGCAATCAAAGGGATTTTACAAAAGCAACTTTGACTATAAGCAATCTTCACCTTACTAGCTGACTTCACACCTGGCTAGCTGCCTGGTAAAATGTGGCTCCATCCTTGCTGGAGATCGGAGTGTTGATGCACTTACTCAAGTTTTCCCAAAAAGTCACTGTGAAATCCTCGGCACTCAGGAAAAATGGCTAGGATGAGCCCGGGGAGAGCGGAAAGTCTGAGTGGCAGACGCTGCAGGCTGCTCCCCATGACTAGCCTCTCCTTCCTCCTTGGTAACAGAATCCCAACTGTATCTGGGGCAGCAATGAGACTGGATCACCAGACTACATGTCCCAGGATCCCTTGCAGCTCTGGCCAATGAGATAAAAGTGGAGGCGCCACACGTGACTTCCAGCCTCGAAGCCTCCTCACCAGTGTGCTGTGGGTGCCTTTGCCTCACCACCTCCTCAAGGCTACAGCTTGAACAGCCACCTTGAACCAGGAGGCAAAAGGCCAAGGACAGCGATACATCAAGGAGGAGGGGCCTGGTTTCCCGTCAATGTGGGGAAAGAAACAATCTTGTCAGAACCACTATTTTGTATACTATGCAGCTAAACCTAATCGATAGACCCTCCTCTTTCGTCAGGCATATTTGACCTTGTTTCATCTCTCAGCTCCTCTCCCCAATCAGACAACCTGTACTTTATCCAACCATGTACTTCTCTTGCTAACAAGACTTTTGGTTTTTTGAGACGGAGTCTTGCCCTTTTGCTTAGGTTGGAGGGCAGCAGTGACGCGAACTTCCGCTTCCAGGGTTCAAGCGATATTCTCTTGCCTCAGCCTCCCAAGGGAAGACAGGCACGCGCCAAGATGCCAAGCTGTTTTTTGTATTTTTAGTAGAGATGGGGTTTCACCATACTGGCCAGGCTGGTCTCAAACTCCTCAAGTGATCTGCCTGCAACTGCCCACCTCGGCCTCCCAAAGTGCTGGGATTATAGGTGTGAGCCACTGTGCCCCACCCAACTAACAAGACTTTTTATCATCCCAATGCAAACTGACCTGTGTTGGCCATTCATTGGGATGCTGAACATATCCCATTTGGGACCATGTCTATCACTGTCCAATTTTGGTCAAACTGATTGGAAATCGGGACATCCCAGAATCTCATCACATACAGCTCTGGGGAAACATCTCTGGCAGTACAGAAGATAAAATTGCTGTCTTTAACCTCATCTGAGTAATTTTAAAGTAATTATCTCTTCCTGGAAGATAACTCACTTTATAGATAAAGGGTTTGGGGTTTTGGGAGGAGCTGACTAGCTGTGGTTTCAGGTGTCTCCACGCAGAAGCTGGAGGTACTAACTCTGGGAGGCACCTTACGGGGAGCAGGGTTGGGCTATGGGATGCTGGCTTGAGCTTCCCTTTTGGCCACAGAGGAAAGCACCAAGATAGACAGGACTGTGGGCAGGAGCCTCACAGGGCAGAGCTCCTGCCTGCTCTGTCAGTCTCACACACCAACCGATGGAACAATAGACAGGTAAATGACAGGATGCCTGGGCAAAATGATGGTCAGATGATGTAGCCTTGTTGGCTGCCACCCCAACAGTCATCACCTTCTCTGTTCCTGCTTGCCCAGATTCCACTCTGGCAGCCAGCCCTCTGTCAACGTGACTTGAGTAAATCCTGACAGTTAACACAGCCACAGGGGTGCAATGTAACCTTGCCAGGGGTTGAGGGGTGGGCAAGTGATCCAGTTCCTTCCTTCCTTTTTTTTTTTTTTTGAGACAGAGTCTTGTTCTGTCACCCAGGCTGGAGTGCAGTGGCATGATCTCAGCTCACTGCAACCTCCGCCTCCCGGGTTCAAGTGATTCTCCTGCCTCAGCCTCCTGAGTAGCTGGGACTACAGGCACCTGCCACCGCGCCCAGGCTAACTTTTGTATTTTTAGTACAGACGGGGTTTCACCATCTTGGCCAGGCTGGTCTCAAACTCCTGACCTCGTGATCCACCCACCTCGGCCTCCCAAAGTGCTAGGATTACAGGCTTGAGCCACGGAGCCCAGCCCCTTCCCTCTTAATTAATTAATTATTTTGGGACAGAGTCTCAGTCTGTCACCCAGGCTGAAGTGCAATGTTGCACACCTGGCTCACTGAAGCCTTGACAGCCTGGGCCCAAGCAATCCTCCCACCTCAGCCTCCCAAAGTGCTGTCAGGGTCAGCCCTCTGGAACCATAGTCCTGGGTTCTCATCTTGGCTCTGTTACATCATGGCAGAGTGACCTTAGCCAAGTTAATTCACCTCACTGAG